CTGTATATGGTTTTCAGCTCTTATAAAGGTGGTGAGTTTAATCAGTTGTAATAAAAGGATTTGATTTTTCTGCTCTATGCAGAATTAAAAATATTCATTTTCCAGAGAGATTTTATAGTATCCTGTTAGTTTAGAGTTGTCTTTGTTAATGTCCTGAGTGAGCTCTCCTTGGGTGCACTACCTATAGTAATACTGCAAAACAGAAACATAATTAGTTTTCATTTTTTAATACTATAATTTGCTTCAGGCTGCTAAACTAATTTAATATATAATCATACAATCACTTTATAAGTGATTATAGAGAAGATCTTTTGCTGCTTAAGATTACAAATTTTTTAATAGTTCTTCCTTACAAATTCTGTGTCAATAATGTATTGCTAACAAACAAGTTTTTGTGTGCTGAAGTATGCTATACTGCAGCATTTCTTGCAATAAAAAGGGTTTTTTCTTGAAATCTGGGGAGATTTTTTGTTTTTTGTGGTTTTTTGTTGGGTTTTTTTTTTATATGTATTGTTGGTTGTTGTCTGTTATGTACTCAGCTGAGGGATAAAGGTCAATGACCACAGCAAACTGCTTATTAGGTTCTTCAAGTTCTTAACATTTGTAGGGTGCTTTTAGTTCCCCTATAGCGGTTGTTGTTAGAAAATCTTCCACAGAAGAGTTTAGAGGTCTTGTTAGGCTTGTGACTGCATTTTGCTTGGGCAAATCTGATTTTTAAACATGATGTGGTTGTGCTTTGAAAGAAGCGCTTGTGTTCGTCTGATCAGAATTGGGCATGGTTTGTGGCAGCATGGCTGGTTAGTTCTCCGAACGCCTTCCCTTTCTTTCCTCTGTTACCACGAATATTTTCTAATAATATTTGTACGTGGGTCTGCCAGTGGGAGTTGGAAGTACTTTTGCAATACTATGCTAAAGGATGAATTGACAGAAATGCACCGTTTTTGCATTTTTAATGAACGGTTACACTGCTAGTGTGTCTTGTGCAACAGAGGACGGAGTTCCCACAGTAGAACAGGAAAAGTAGTTCCAGGATTAGCAGAGGAATCTGTATGAAATTTGGCTGAGTAGGCAGGAATTCTTTACTTAATAGAATTGCCGTGCAACTGGAGTACCATTGCGTGAGATTGTGTTGGCATAAATGTGTGTGTGTATATAGGTATATATGCATGAATGAGGGATGGAAATACAAGAGCTCATTTCTACCTTTCACCTCATCAGTCTAGACGCTGTGAAGGTACAAAACCTCAGGTCACTGTTACTTTCCAAAGGGTTCAAAATGTATTTGTAAGTGCTGCATGAACTTCGCTGGATTTACTTTTGTAGCTGATTGGACACTGATCTATCGCTCTATGAAAAAGGAGCTGCAGTCTGCGTATGAGGTTTCCTGGTGGCTTCTTGTCCTAAGAAATAAGCAATGAAGATCTGCAGATCTACCTGCGTTTTGCATAGCCCCAGTTCCCAGGTATTCTCAGACCTTCTTACGAATAGTCCTGCAACAGTGTTTTTTTCAATATCTGTGCATATGCTCGTAGCATGACTGACTAATGAGGATGTTGGTGAATACTGGAATAAGTTAATGTGGATAGGAGGATGCCTGCTGCTAACTCGGCAACAATCTGAGACTGTCATTGCATGAAACTCCCGTAATATTATAAAAGTCTGCACGGGAATAGGTACTCTGATTCAGAAGTTTGTCAGCTGTTTACTGTCAGTGGCAACTACTGGGAAGTAGATAAATTGGCTGCTGGTGTTAGCCTAAGAACAAGCAAGAAGTAAGCAGCCTGGCTATGGCAGCTGCAACTTCAGTCTCTAATCTCAGTTCCTGCCCTTTCAGTTAGTGGTCTTTAGCGGCTGCCTCATTTTATCGTACTATTAGTTTTGTAACAGGGCTGGATAGCAGTGTGAATTGCAGTGCCACATTTCTCTGTTGTGGTCTGTGCTGTGGTTCACCCTGAGAACAAGCGGCAGTTCTTTCTAGTGAAGTGAAATCCTGTTAGGGGTGCAGGCAGCTGCCAGAATGCCCTCCAGCGCCTGCACTGCTTCCCTTGGTGGGAGCGTGGACAGCTTGAGTGCTGCACGCGACTGCTTCGCTTGGCAGCATTGAACAACACAGAATCGCTTACAAAAACGCTGCTATAAAGAGTGTCAGTCTCTGCAAAAAGTTTTTGAAGGTCTTCAAGGCAGTTGGGCATAGCAATGCAGCTGGGTTGTAGGCACAGCTCTTCTGGCCTTCCCCTCTTCCCCTGCAGCTGCAGCCAGCCATGCACTGCTCTGCTCTCTGGAGTTCATCGGCACAGTCCTGTTGGGTATCGTGTAGAGATACGGGTTGCCAAATATCAATATTTAATCTATCTAATTATTAAAAGTTTTCTTCATTTCTTTTTTAATGACCATGCTCTTGTAAGACTCCATATTAATATCAGTTCACTTCATCAGTCTTCAGGGCGTAAACTTGATTAGTTTTTGGGCCAATATCTTATACAGTTATTAATATAGAAAATAATCTTTTAGGCAATTTAAATTTAGTGGAGAGTTTTTAAAACATCTTTCAGCTTTTCAATATTTAGACTTCATATTTGGACATACTAGCTTTCTTGCAGCAGTTTTAAGACAGAAAGCTCTGACCTTACCCCACTGACTCAAATCTTTATGGTGCGTGTGTAGCCAACCATGTGGAAACCTCTGTGGAAATAAGATCAAAAGCTACAGGGTCAAAGACAGAGTCGTTTTTTCCCCTTATATAGTTTATGTGCTATAGCTCAGGGTTAGGTATTACGTTAGTACAATATGCTGTATGCTTCAGTGACTGGCTTTCTGTCACTATTAAATTTTGTTATCCTGATGATGTATCACAAGAGAAGGTTATGTGGGGGAAAAGAATCCTTCTCTTATCCCAGGTATTGTTAAAAGAGCACCAAAAAATTCTTTGGGACTTCTGTGAATCTGTCTTCGATCTTCTCAAGAGCAGTAGTTGGTTGAGATGCTCAGCTTCTCCTCGTTCGGGATAGCTTCATCAAAGCATTTCACTGTCCTTTTTACAGCGGTTAGTGGCAAGTGCTCCTCTCTCCACACTTTACTCAGGCAGAGCAAAGGACAAGATAATCCCCTTAGCCTGTTAAATGCTCCATCCCATCTGGTAGGTGATAATTGCATTGTAAGGGGATTAGCACAGTGGGATATGCTTATAGTGTAATGAAAGCTTCACTACAAGTGTGAAAGTCAGCTGAATGCATTCAAGCACTTTGAGACCTTATATTTGCACATTTTTGTAAATATCATAAAATATAAGTTTCATCTGGAGAAGGTGTGCCTTACCTTTACATGCCTTCACATTTGTGTAATAGATTGTAAATTTGTTTTGAGACATCAGTAGTCTAAAGATCTGAAACATTACTGTAAGAGTAGTGGAATAGGCTTTTGTTTAGCTTAATGTTTTAGGGCAGTTCTGTGATTATAGCTGTGTTAAATGCTATAAAAATTAAATGTTAACTTCACTTTTACTCAAAACTCCTATGACTTTAAAATCATGGGGTTAACTTGTTCCTAGTATAGCAGCACCCATGTTACCAAGCTCTGCCTAGAAATCTTCCTCACTAAAGGTGAAATTTGAATAAGCCACACTGTGAGGAATATCAGAGTAATTTTTTATCAGTAGGGATAAGAGGATTTCAAGCTGAAGGTATCTCTCATTGCAGCCAACCAGAATAAATGTTTTGAAATTTCAATTTCAAGCATGAGCCTAAGGTAGTGCAAAATGACTCCTTAAAAAAACCTAAAAATTAAAATTTGTCTTATGGGGTTTTTTTAGGTTTAATGCTGGCAGTAGTGAAGATAGTCTTAGGGCTCAGAGCGTTTCATAAGCTAACTGTAACTTAGCTTCCTTACCTTTCAAGATGTTAAAGATCCGTTTGAAGATATTTTATGTAAGGCGGTAGCTCAGGGTTGGTTACCATCCTGTTGGTTGCTCTCTCTCCAGTCTCCCTGTATGGTACAAGAAACTGGGCGAGTTGCTCAGTGCTGACCAGTGTGTGCCGTTTTGCTGGTTTGAAGATTAACCTGTTAGGTTAAGACAGGGCTTGGTTAGCCCACACTGTGCTGTGATAGTGTTTTGTAGCCAGACAGATTAGGAATTTAGAGGTGTGTGTATTTTTACGTAAATAAGAGAGTCAGGTGTATAAATATGCACAGCATGCAGTACATGCTTCAGTGATGTTGTGTGACCTTGCCGCGGGATTAAATTTTCTAATGAATTAAGGTTCTGTGACCAGCTGTGTGATTGCTGTTTCTTCAGTTTCCAGTGCCTGACTTAGCAGCTTTGTCTGTGTTTGTGTGCGCCTCTGGGAGTAAGAACAAAATGAAATCTAGTGGGTTTTTTTTATGGGCTGTTTTCAGAAACTTTGCTAGTCTGTGAGGAGGTTGTTGAGTGTGGTTAAGCTCAACCTTCTCATACTTAATCGTGGCTCTGAGTGCGCAGTGTTGCATAGAAAGCTGCTTTTCCAAAGTTGTGATGATGAGACATGGGAGTGATTTTACAGATATATTTTTTTTTTCTTCCTCTTTTTATTATTGTTATTTCTTATAAGGCAGCTGAGCTCTAAAGAACATTCCTTCATTTTATTCTTTTAGATGGAAAGTGTTTACCCGAGGAGAGGAAAATTTGAGAAATTTGCTGTTTAGTTGTCTGACATTCTGTAATTTTAAATAAACATGAGTGAAAGGTCATGAGACTCAAAAAAAAAAAAAACAAACCCCAACCAAAAAAACCAAACCAAAACAAAAAAAACCCCAAAAACCCAAATGAACACCCCTCCAAAAAATGAAGTGTGTCCCCTCTCCCCACCCCAGTCCTTTCTGAAATATGAGGTTTTGTCAGATGAAAATCCCACTTAAAAGAACTGTTACCTTGGCAATATACAGAAAATACTTTTAAGAGGAATTTTCAAATGTTTAGTAACTGCTCTTTTTTTAACAATCCTTAAATATATTTTCTTCTTGTTTAGGTGACAAACAGCATGTTTGGTGCTTCAAGGAAGAAGTTTGTAGAGGGGGTTGATGGTGACTACCATGATGAAAACATGTACTACAGCCAATCATCGATGTTCCCACATCGGTCAGAAAAAGATGTAAGTTATTTTTTGTCTTTAAGAATTGTATTTGTAACTTAAATTGGGTTATTGATTATATCTTGTGTTTACATGTTGTGTCTACAGTGGTTTTGTTGTGGTTTTGCATTTTACATCTTCAACGGTTTTTCTGTTTCTGAAAATGCCTTGTGCAGCTTGTTTGTCTGCTCAAGTATTCCAATTTAGGTATTTCTCCCATTTGTAATGACACAAAGTTACAAAACCAACCATTCCTAAACATTTTTTTTCCTTGATAATGCATTATTGTATGTTAGAACTGCATTGGCATTACTGAAGATCTGCTTATTATAAAAATAAATAAATGAGCCAGTAAAATATTTCACTCTTGTATGGAGTGGTACATAGAAATATATGGAAGACTGAAAGCATGACTTGAAGTTCATATCACCTGAAGGTCAGAAATACCATCTCATGATAGACTTTCATTTAATGTGTGTGTAAGCAAAACACATGCCAGATTTTCTTTTTAATTTAAAAGAAAATTAAAAACCACTTCAGATTTTCAAAAAGGTGTCATTGCTTCAAGTCTGCCTTTGTGACTGTCCAGAAATATAATTGTTTAATAGCAGATGTGAACATAGCCTTGGTAGACCTTGACCTATGTAAACATAAACGTTTGCTATAGACTGTTAGTTGAATTTTAATTCAGATTTTCAAAGGTATAAGGAAATAGGTTTAGAGTAGAAGGCTTTTTAAAACAAAAATAAAAACAATGCTTAAATGCAGTTTTCCAATTCAGTTTCATAAGTTAGTTTTGTAATGCATTTCAGGTGAGCCAGCAAAGGGTTAAAATGTAGTACAGTGTAAAGAAAATTCAATAGGCTGCTCTTTTCTATTTATGTCCATTACATATGTGCATGTACCACAGAGGCACAATAGAATGTTTATAATGTTGAACATACTTTCCTTTCTGTGAGCACGAGAGGTGCAGCCAGCACTCTCAAAAATGGTAGACGCTATTTCTCCAAAGTGATTCTTAGATATTAAATCCTCACTTTTAGATTTGATGCACTGAGGAAGAAATCGTTGCAGTATAGTAAGAAAGGTAAAATGAGATGAACACTATGCTGTAAGAAATTCTAAAGATGATGTTCTGTATATGAGAACACAATAAGTATATTGACTCTGTTGTTATTGGGATAACGGTATTGACAGACAAAAATAGATTTGCTCAGATTTTTCTCTGAGTAAGCTAATAAAGACTAATGTTCAAAACCTGGATCGGGTTTTATGAACACCCGGGGGGGTAAAATTTCCAGCATTCTAGATCTTGAAACACTTTGAATCTTTCTGTCTTCACATTTATATTGAAATGGAGTAGGTAAATGTGGGTTAAAAAAAAAAAAAAAAAAAAAAGGTAGAGGAAACTTTGGGGAAAGGAGTAAATAATTTTCTATATCCAGAAAATCCAACTGGTAATAAAAAGGTTAAAACGTAGCATACACAATCTTTTTGTAAGCTTCCTGAAAAATGGCAGTGTTTCTGCCTTTTTTTATAGTAGAATTGTCTAAACAAGGTGCAGTTTTATTGCGATTTAAATTACTCCTTTTTTAAAATTTTCAGTTTCATGTATGTATTTACTTAGAGCATGCATAAATATATATATTGCAAGTTTTAGCTAAAAACCTGTAGAAAATGAGTTAAATGTTCTTTTTTTTTTTCTCTGATGTATCAGATGTACACACAAATCCAGAGTCCTTCATTTCTGCTTCATTTATGCTCTAAAGTTCTTCAGCCTGAAGTAGAGTGGTTCTGAGGGAAGCCCACTGTTGATGGCCTCCTTAAACACTGCTCTTTAGGAAGGGCTAAAGCTTATTCAGTATTTACCCTCCTGCTAGACTTGACTAGGTGTTTTTCTGTTTTTAACTTTGTTGAAGTCTTACTGATTCTGACCTTAAAAGTTGCTATTTACCAGGGAATTGTTACTGCGCATGTGTATTTGCTCTCCAAGCAGAGGAACGTACAGAACGGTGAAACCTTCCTAAAATTTAGAGTAGAGTAAGGCCCATTACTGCAAGCCCATTGTTTTGTATAAACTTCAGAATCTATTTTTCACTTTACGGTAATGTTTCAGTCCTTGTGAAGAGGCCTTGTCTTCAGGTTGGGTACTAGACTGACTTGCACGCAGTTTGACTGGGCTGGGAGCCTTTTAGCTTTCTGCCTTGTTTTAATACCCAAGGTGGAGGTTTTAATTTTTTTTCAAATTATATTATGAAATCGTTCTTTACTTATTAAGTGAAAAAAGAATGAAGAATTAAAAAGATGTGAAAAAATATTTTATGCCTTTTATTAAACAATCTTTATAGCACTTACTGATGTGGTATTCTTCTGACTTGTTGCTTTGGCTAATTTGCATTTTAAAAGAATTTCCTTTACACAAAGTTAAAGTGAACTAAGGCTGCTCAAGTCCTGTCTTAAATTTTGAAGACTTTTTATAAGTGGGAAGAAGTAGCAACAAATAGTTTAGGACATGTTACTTTTATTTCAGAGTCTCAGTGTAGCTAAAAACTAAAAGCTTTCTTGTAACTTACCTGTTTTTTCACTAGGGAATGCAGTTCTAGACAGTCAGGATTGATGTGATAATTGAAATGGAAAAGTTTTGTGTTACTAGTGCTCAAGTGCTTCCAAAATCACATGCATGCTGTTTGGGCCTCTTGTTTTAGGCAGAAAATTGTTTCCTTAGATGAGATTAGATCTTACTGAAGCTATCTAATGCTTCCTTTTTACTAAAGGAGTAGCTTTGCCTTGAGTCATCACAAACCTTGCAGTGCTAAGTTAGGAAGTGGAACAGAGTAAATCCATGAATGCTCTGACCCTAGGTGCAGCAGAATTCATAGACGGTGTGTGATAACCAGGTCAATAATCCTTTGGCAAAGAAATTAGATGTTTTACAGGACTTGCAGAAAACAGAACTGGTTAAGAAAATGGTTTAAGGTTTGGCTTTAAACGAATGTGGTCCTGTAACTTAAATTGACAACAAGATGCACAATGTGCCCACAAAATAATTACAGAGCTTATTTGTGGCCAGTTTCAGCAACTTAATTGAGCTGTCTGTGCACTCAGCAAAATCATTGTGAGGAAAGGGGCATATTTTTATTTGGATAGAGTGACAATGGTAGGAAATGGTAACTCAAAGCCTTCACATGCTTTCAAACCTGCTGTCTTCAAATGAGGAAAAAAAAAAGACAATGTGCTTTGAGGGGAAAAAATGAGACCTGTTTGGTCTGAACTTCCTTGATTTCTCATGTAAAAGAATGGAAGAAGTGCTCTACAAGGTTTGACCAGTCTAGCCTAATCCACTGAAGATGCCTACATGAGAATATAAGATCAGGACATCTTCTGTTGTGATGAACTGTAGGTACAAATCTGACAGTAGACAGACATGCCTTTTGATGAAGATCTGCCCAAATTATAACTAAAGTTAAGAGAATTTTTTTCAATGAATGCTTTTTCCATTTCTTCGCCCAGTGCTTTGCAGTTCGTTTTCTCTCCCGGTTGCTCAACAGATGATAAAGTGCTCACAGTAACATAGTAGTAATTCTCTGATTTGCACTTCCAATGGGTTAGTTTGCTGAGCTTATTCTCTTGTCTGAAAAATGTTAACATTTTATCTATTCTGGACTTTCTCAGTTGACACCTGATGTTCTTTTGCAGCTCAGTTCTTTCAAAACATCCCGTCTTGTGAAATCAAATATATTTTAACAATTGGGGCAAGTAAGATCTAGCCTGCAGGTTAGATTTGACTCATTGCAACTATTAATCTAGCTCCCTGGCACTACCTTTCCTGAAGTAGGAGGTCTTCAGATTTGGGTATTGAGCACAGCAGAATGGGTTATTGATTCTGGGAGACTGCTCTCTAAAGGTTTCTTCCATCCTCATGTAGTAGAAGCATGTCTGTGATGGATGAAATTCAGGTGTTCCTGTGTCATGAGAGAGTTGCATGAAGGCAAACGACAGGAGATTTGTTTTATAATGGACATGATGGTGGTGATGCAAGAAAGGGGTGGTCAGAAGCTGTTATTGAAGTCTTTTACTGCAAACTTCCATCAAAGTAATTTATAGAACCTTTACCTAACTCTTACTGTGTTTTGAAATATATGGCCTTATAAAGAGGTTGTACTTTTACAGGAGATAAAACCCTGAAACAAGACTTAACTTACTGTGGAGACAGAGATCCAGAATCTTGCCACGTTAGGGAAACTAAATGTGGAAGTATTTAATCAGTCTTCTGGAGACAGCTTTGGCTTTAGTGTTGCTGAACACCATGTTGTTCCAGCTGCTTTGCTGACTTTCTAATGCTATTTTTTAGGATTCTAAGGAAAGCTATGGTATCTTGTTTCCCAAGGCATCTTGCTTGGCATTTGCCTTCGTCATTGCATGAGAGTTTGTTAGCTTAGTCATAATTTAACTTCAGATGCTACATATGGAGTTGTGTTAAATACTTAAAATTTCCCATGGAATCCTCTTGTATCAGAAGCAGTCACAGAATTCACGCTCATGCAGCTGGTTGAATAGGGCTACTTAACATTAATGTAACTTTTCGTAGTCTGAATAGTTTTGATCCATTTGTGGAGGGAAAAAAAACGTAAATCTTATTTTGGGGAGATTCATGCCTTTAATTACAAATGGCAAATGAATATTTTCATATGCATTACTTTGCATATAAACATACTTGTAGACTTGAGTGAATAGTGGGTTGGTTTGCTCTGCTTCCTTTCTGAAACACGTGATTTAAGCTCTTTTTTTTTTTTTTAAGTGTGAGTTGCAAAGCAACAGAGTTGCTTTTTACCTTCCCAGAGAGTGATGAAACAATCTTTGCATCTTTTAGCGAGTACATAATATGTTTAAAAAAAACCCAACCAACAACCCACCAACACAACAACAAAAAAACCCAAAACAAATTTAAAATGAATGAAAATTGCAATGCCATTCATTGAAAACAGTTGGAAGGACTTGCAGGGGATGAGATTAGAAACAAA